GCTCTTTCCGCTCGCCTCAGCCAAAAACATCGCCTAGCCCTCATTGTTCAAGCCCATACTAGACTCCAAAACCACTTGGTGATGCCTCCTCTGCCACTGATCTTCAGCATTATCAAATGATTCAACTATGTCAACCAAATTATGCTTGGCCCTTGCTCATTTTTTTCCTTCATCACCACTTTCTTCCTCTTTGTCGAGGAAGAGATCTAAGACCCCACCTTCACTAGCCCCAGAAGATCCACACTGATAAAAAGGAAAACTAACAACAAATGACAAAAAGCTTAGATCATGCCCATTTATAGAGTAGACGGGGCACGAAATTCGAAGGAAAGTCAAATGTTCAATCAATTCACAATTTTAACGCTAACGATTAATCAATAAATTTCCCCGTCCATATTGTAGTTGCTGCTATCAAGAAGCAGAAAAAATTGGAGAATTAATACGTATACACCAGAAATACCGACGCGAATCTCAAATAGAACGAATGACAAAGATAAAATAGCTTCCCTTCAGGGTAAGAACCGCCAAGCATGAGAAACCGCACCTCCAAGCTTGAGATAGGTGCAAGCTTTAGAGATTGTTTTCCACTTGGTAGCGGCAAGATCCACCGAGAGTGATGCGTAAATCATTCTAACGGTGAGTCTTGACGAATACCTCGCATAGGAAGCCACCAGAGTCACCAAGACCGTGTCAGACACAGATATCCGACCGAGGCAACAAACGTACCAGGAATGCGAGACACAGATCCTATAAGACTCGAGTTGAACGACAAGCGAGCCATGACTTACCTGACCGCAGTTTACCAACCGACCTGGCGTGAGCGAGATCGCCATACAACTAAGCGCATCGATCGACCGACACACACTTTGAAAGATACAATCGCCACTCGACCAGTCGTCTCAATCGGTCGAACTCAGACAAGTCGGCTTGGCGATTACCACTATGTTAAATTTCAAATTTTAATACATATATGATAAAAAAGTTATATAATTAATTAGATCATTAATCATATTGAGAATAGTTTTCATAACTGTCCCCTCCTTGTAATTGTACAAAATACACTCCAAGAAAATAGGAAACAAAAATACAAATAAAGACGGCTCTCTGCTCTCGTTCTCTCGACAGTAAATTCTTGGTCCACTCTACTCTCTTTTCTCTCGTTCACTCAGCTCTAACTCTCGAAGCGTGTTCACAAAAGACAATTTGGGATCCAACATATATGAATGATTTGAATTACATAAATATTAAAAATAAAATTGTGGTGCTAGTTATGATGAATGATTTGAATTATATAAATATTAAAAATAAAATTGTGGTGCTAGTTATGTAAATACATAGGAATTGAAAGATATGCATGGAAATCACCCTATTTTTAATTATATTTTTATTCTTAGTCACCTTTTTTTATTCTTAAATGGGGCACGTTTTTGTGTGAAGAAAATCACAAATAATTATTTTAGAATTATTTCTTACGAAAATATGAATACAACTTAGTTTTACTAGCATTAATATTGGTATTAATTTTTTTTTTTCAAAAAATATTAAAATTATTTAGCCTATAACTAAAAAGTTTCTTTTATCTTCAGACTTAAAAAAGGTTGATATTTAATATGTTATTTATGCCTTTTTTAGATAGGATGTGATTATATATAATACCAATCAACTTAATTTTAATGATACCATGTATTAAAAATAGTCTTAAATAAAAATAAACAAAATACAAAAAAAAAACATATAATTAAAAAATATATAAGATGTAATTATAATAAAAATTGGGGGATTTCCATGCACTTCAAAATAAATAGGATGTTATTATAATAAAAATTGGGATTAAATTTCAAAATTTAGCTTACAATTGAGTTAATATATAAATAATCAATTAATTGATGTATTATGTATATTTTTTACTCAAAAAAACTCATCCAACATTTTATAGCCAGGATATTCTCGATAAATTATTGCGTGCAGAGAATGCACACAAGCTGCATGCATTCTCCGATCACAGCCGCACATCAATCATCCATGTAGAAATTATTGCGTGCAGAGAGTGTACGCAAGCTGCTTGCGTTCTCCGATCACAACCGCACATCAATCATCCATGTATGTCAATGAGACCTACGCACGCAATAATTTTTCGGATATTCTCACACAATTTCCTTATCTTCCTTCAAATTTATA